ACAGAATTGTATCTTATTTATCAGAATGACCTGACCGGGGAGCATTCCTGCATTATGCTGAAGATGCTCAATGAAGAGGACTCTGAGCAGGAACCTTGGCTCACTGCTTTTTGGAAAGGTAACTCTGATCCTGCTGACTCTGCAGGAGCCCTCTGTGCTGTTTATAATTCTAGAGGTCCACTGGGATAATTAATTTTGTCCTCTTGCCCTGTAGATTTTAGGAGGCGCTTCCTTTCCCTGCTTTCCTACCAGTTCAGCACCTTCTCTCCCTCCTTGGCACTGAATATTCTACAGAACAAAAATATCAAACAGCAGCCCCAAGCATGTGAGTACCCTGACTGGGACAGCTGTGTGTGCATGACAGAGCATGGCTGGGGCCTGGCACCTGCAATTTACTGTTTTCTCAGGATGTTCAACAGAGGAGAATCCTCTGGGAGATTCTTGGTACCTGTGTCTTGTGGGGTTTTAGTGCCTGTGTTGGTCAGAGGGTTTTTCTGCTGCAGCAAGGGAGCAAACCTCTTTTACAGCAAGACCAATGAGAATTGTTAAAGACAAAGGAAAAATATTAAATAATATATGAAGCTGAATAAATGCTAAAGACTGAGATCCTGGGTAGCTCTGAAGAACATTCCTGGCCTTGCTGTCTTTTTCCCATCCCCACCAGCCATCAGCCGTGCTGAGCTGGAGTCCGTGTTCATCCCGTATGACCTGAAGAGGCTGGAGATGTACTCCCGAAACATGGTGGACTATCACCTCATCATGGACATGGTTCCCACCATTGCCAGGATGTTCTTCCTCAGCCAGATGGGAGATATCTCCCTCTCTGCTGCACAGTCGGTGTGTATGGACGGAGTGGAGCGAGGATTTGGGAAAAACACAGCGGGGGCAGTGGGGAATGTGTGTCTGTATTTGCTCTGTGACTGAAATACATCTTTTCCTCAGGCCCTTTTCCTAGGGATTGGCCTACAGCATAAATCTCTGGACCAGCTGGAAAAGGAGCTGGAACTGCCCAGCAGTCAATTGATGGGGCTCTTCAACAGGATCATCCGCAAAGTAGTGCAGGTGGGAGCAGTAAGACAAGCCTTGGTCATGTGGGACAATCATTCCAATATTAACAGAAAATAGGGCACTGAGAGAGAGCTGGATCAGAGCTGGGCATCCTTGATGCATCCCCAGTTACTTCTTGGCAAGGTGGGGAAAATCCCAGCTGGAAAACGTGTGGCAACAATTTAAATCACCATGGCAGGGGGTTTGGAGCTGGATGATCTTTAAGGTCCCTTCCAACCCAAACCACTTCATGATTCTGTGTAGTGATTTTACAGATAAAAGTGCCTATCTTATGGTTTTCCATGTTGAAATGCCTTGACCAGGATGCTGAGCAGATAAGCCATGTTGCCTGAGCCATTGTTCAGAGCATTGGTGGCATCTCAGGTTTCCTTGGAAAAAAATAAAATTATTTTTCCAGTGTTATCTTGAGGTAGACTTGAAATCCAGTGAAATAATTGGAAAGTTTTGAATCTGCTTCCTGGTTTTCTTTCTCTCTAAGGTTCAGGATAGCAAAGCTTTGAAGCCTGGCATTAGGAGTTCATTGTAGAGGTGATAAATGGTGTTTTAAAAAACAAGTCTTACATGTGCTGGGTTATTCTATTTTCAGCTGTTCAACACAGTCCAGGAAAAAGCTGTGGAGGAGCAGATGGCAGCAACAAAAGATGTTGTGATGGAGCCAACACTGAAATCTTTAAATGATGATTTGGTAAATACAAACTTCATTCCTGGTTCATATGTAAGCACTTCTGGGAGTTTGCTTGAGGACAGAAACATTAAATTTTCTTGGATTTAAAGGGTTCCACACCACATCTGGCACTGTAAAGGAGTTAAAACCTTACAGGTTTGCATTATGTGCACCTGTAGTTGTGCTGCAATATGGGGTTTTCACAGAAAATTACAAGTTTGTGTGTACAAATAACATAAAAATGCAATTAGATAAAAGAGAGAAGTTATTCAGCACCAGCTGGTATTTATTTTAGGAGATGCATTTGTGGGAAAAGGCATTTTCCTCCCATGAGAAAGTCATGGTTGCCCTCAGGACCTAATGCATCTTGTGCTGTCCTGTTGCAGGAGGAAGCTGCAAAGGAATTCCAAGAAAAGCACAAGCAAGAAGTGATGAAACTGAAAGAAATGGACCTTACACAGTAAGAATTCATCTGCCTGGGTCTCAAATCTAGTTTTTCCCTGAGTGGAATGCTGGTTGTTGCTGGGATTTGTGCACAAGGCTGTAGGTGCAGTAAACCATCAGTAAATGAGAACTGGTGTGTATTGTCAGCAGTGGGTAAAACATAAAAAACCCAAATCAACACAAAAAGAGCAACCAACCAGTGCTTTTACTTAAGGGTCAGCAGATTTCTTTCTGGATCAACAGGAGTTGCAGATGCCACTGATTGTCTCTCTCTTCTCTCTCCCCTCCCACATTTTGTCTTATAAACACTGTTCACTGTGCTCATGTCCCAGGAAAGTTGTCTGGCTTAGCTCTAAACTGATCTCTGTTAAATCTGGCAAAAGGAATAAAAGCTTCTTTGAATCTTTGGTTGTCATGTTTGAAGAAAGGACAAGAATGGATGTGATTTGAAGTGACTTGCCACATGAAGGAACACAAGTCACATAAAGGAAATAATACAACCAACATGTTTTAAAATTAATTCCGTTTTGTAGCATTGATAGTGCTACATACTGGACTGACTGAGTTTCCTTTTTCTCAGCCAGAAGTAGATTTTTGTTCTCCATGAGGAGAGAGAGAGATAAAAATCTATTTTGAATACTTTTCAATGCAGGTAATATAAAACTTGAGAGGATTTGTCCAACATTGTTCAGCTTTGTGGACAAGGCCTTATCTATTCCAAATCTCCAGGAACTTGAGACATGGAGAGCAGTCACTCCATTTTGCTACACAATTGCTTTGTCTCTTTAAATCTGGGTGTAATTTCCAGGGTGCTTGAACACCAAGGGCCACAGGACATGAGTTTATTTGAGTAGCAATTACTGTCTTTATTTCTCTTTTCAAAAGCAAGCTGCAGCTCTTCACATTTCCCCAGACTGATTTAGAAAAGCTGTCCCATGCCAGCTTTGCCAGCCTGACTTCAAGTATGTTTCCCAAATCTGATTTGGTTGGGTGCTGGCACAGTGGCTTTGTTTGCAGAGTAGAGTGTGCCTGACAGTAGAAACACCTTATTTTTAATTTTTTTTTCCTTTGTGCTAACAATTTGACTTGATATTTCCTTCACCTTTCCCACTTAGGTACATTATCCGGGGGGATGATGATGAGTGGAACGAGGTGCTGAGCAAAGCAGGACAGAATGCTTCTGTCATCAGCTTGAAAAGGTAAAGGAACTTGAAATATTCCAAAGATCTCTCTAGTCTTTCCTGCTGGCTTTGTTAAAATGTTTTCCAAAAGAGCAAAGCCTAAGGGTTCACTCTTAAGCCTAAGTGAAGCCTAAATGCAGGTTAAGTGAACTCAGTGTCCTGGATAGATCCTCAGTTTTCCTGGGGAAATTGGGGTGTGAGCAGCTGCAAGCTCTACTACGCAGTGGTTCTGTAAGGATAGTCCTCTCTTCATTAATTTGTTTAATCCTGACTTTATTGCTGATGATCTGGTCCTGATCCCACACAGAAGCTGGGACTGTTCCTCCCTTGGGTCACTCATTCCACTTGACTGCCCCATTTGCTTTGGGATTTAACACTAGGTGGGAGCCCCTGGAGGTGCAAATTCAGGGAAGAATTCTTTCAAATGTGAGCTTGAGCCTGGAAAATGTCCGTGTTTCTGCAATTCCTTAATTTTCATCCATCTTCTTTCTTCTGCCTTGCCCAGCATGTAATCTTCCCATATTTTCCCTTGGGGATTTATAGCTGAGACTTCCCTTCTCACTTATTTCTGCTTCCTGGGGTGCCTGACAGCTCAAGTAACTAATTATGTGATCTCTATTCCCCCCTTTCATGTTTTTGTCCATGAATGCTGGAAGCTGTAAGTTTCCAAAAGCCTTCCAGGAAGGAGTGAATCTTAGCAGTTGCTTAAAAAGATCAGAGCTTGGAATTCTGTTGTGTTTGCTTGAGACAGAGTCCAGTGCAGGGACAAAATTGAATGTTTAAAACTATCAGTGGTAGTTTCTCTTCTGGGTACTCTAAATTCCAGATGCCCCATTTAGGACAGATAAAGTTTTGAAAAATAAAGACAAGAGCTAAAATTTAAGATCTTCTGGGTTAGAGAATCTCAGGACACTATAAAATCTAAGTCAGGCTCTTGTTTGTGCTTTTTCTAGCACCAAGTTTAAATTTTCTCCCTCACTCCTATTTTACAACAAAAATTTCCCTTGGCAATCCAGTGTATTTTTAACAGATGTTTTGTTCCTGCTTTCCAGTGAGAAGAAAAGAAAACTAGAAACAGCACGAGGACCCAAACAACAGAAAAAATTTAAGAAGACTAAAGATCTGAAGCAGAAGAGGAAGAAATGACTTAAAAGTCAACCAGTGAACTTGAATGAACAAGTGCTGGGTCTGTAGTAGAGAAGACCTGTTCGCTAAAGCAAGAGACTATTTTGGAGGGAAGAAAAATCCTTAGAGGCATTTTTCAAGTGTTTGTATTGTGGGAAGAGCAGTGTTCAAGTGTTTGTGTGAAGATTTTTATATGAATTGTGACTGCAGAGTGTGAATGAGGGACTGGAATGCACTGGGATATTACAAAGGTGCTTGAGCAGCTACAGCATTCCCATTCCAAGAGGGCAGATCAGCCTGTAAACTTCCTGCATCTTAATGGTTCTATGGTTTATTAAACAAGAGTTTGGACAGCAAAGGACAGAAATGTGACTCTGCCTTAGCACTGCAGCACAGTGATCTCTGCAGCTGCTGGTTCTGGTAGTCCTTTGGAGCTTGAGGGGGCTTTTATGTACTTTGTGTTTGGGGCTGATCACTGCACACTCTGTCTCCCTGCTGTCCTAGAGCTGCCCCTTGGCTTTGGTGGAAAGTTTTGTGCTCTGGTTGCCAGAAGTCAACACTATTGTACCAAAACCTGGTTGTGTGATCTCTTTGAGCTCTGGGGGGCAGTTGAGCAGCACAGCAACTTGGCAATAACTTTGTGCCAATCTGGAGCTGGGACTTGCTGTTACTCTGGGTCTGCTGCCTGTCAGACTCCAGAGGCTTCAAACCCAGGGCAGACATTTGCCATAGAGTGTTTGAATCCTAAATGCCCTGGTGCATTGCTCTGATATTCTTCTGGCTTTTTGCTGTGGGGGTTGGGAACAGAGACAACCCTGCAGCTGATGCACTGCTGTGTTGTATTTACCTGCAGATCTCACAGCTCCTTTTCCTGGCAAATCCTAAGGAAACCCTTTCTAGGTAAAGACAGCTTTTCTTCTCTAGGAGGCTGATTTTAATTAAGCACAGATTTTGCACAACACAGCCTGTGCCTGCCTGTGGTTTGGAAGCCTCTACGGTGTTGCCACCACAGCTGGTGACTGTGGCACATCCCTGAGCAGGGACATCTGCAGCTGCAGCCCTCAGAGGGGCTGGGATCACCCAGCAGCACTGCCAGGGCTGTGGTGGCCACTGGCTGCCCTGGACTGGCTCCAAAGGTCTTGGAAAAGGAGCAAACAGAAGGCAAGGAGTGTGAGGCTCTTGAGAGCTGTGGCCAGGAAGTGCACAGAAGAAAAGGTGAGTGTGAATTCCCCCTGGTTTTGCTGTTACTGTTAAAAATAGTGGTGTGCACCCTGAGATGGTCTGTCCTCTTTATTCCTTGTAGCCTGTTGGAGTGCTGGCCTGGGTTTGGGAGGAGCCAAGTATCTTGGAGCTGTGAGGCTTTTCCTGACAGAAATCCATGATGGGGATGTTTTCCCTGGCTGTCCCAAGGGGAAAGAACAGCTCTGGAGACTTTGCAGCCACAGGCTGGGGATGCATCCCCTGAAAACCTGTTCAGGATTGTTCATCTGACTCTGCCTGTGGCTTCCAGGGACCCCTCCTGGAGTTCTGGATATTCCACTGCTGTTTTTTAAAGAAGGAATTCCAAACACAGTAAGTCAATCATTCAGTCTGAGCTGTCACAGTGGTGGGTTGTGAGGAGGAGGAAGGAGGGGTAGGGGGTGGTATCAAAGACATTCCCAACTGGATTTGGGGCCATGCACTTCAGACACATTTACATGGGCATTAAAGGGCTGGTCCCAGTGCTCCAAGCCCTGTGGTGAAGGTGAGCATGGGAAAAGGGGCAAATTACCCCAAAAAAATAGGGAGAGGGAATGATTTAGAATTCCTGGCCTTCCTTTTTTAACAGAAATTTATTTTGAGGCCCAAGCTTAAAAAACCTGGAGTGTGTGATTGTTCCCAAGTGTCACACTTCCAGACTAGGATCTGATGGGGTTATAGCAGAACCATGGAAGGTTTGGTTGGAAGGTACCTAAAAGCTCATCCCATTCCAACCCCCTGCCCCAGGTTGCTCCAAGCCTCATCCAGCCTGGCCTTGGACACTTCCAGGGATGGGGCAGCCACAGCTGGGTAACAGGTAACAGATGATGTGTCTGACTCCATTTCCCTTCCCAGCTGGGCAGCAGATGAGTGGGAACACTGCACCAAAACCTGTTGGAATTCCAGCTTCCAGCTCCACATGGGGCACTACATCCAGCTATGAACACTCACCAGAGCACTTTTGCCATGGACCAAGTCATCCCCTGCAGCAGGAAGTCTCCCATCCCCATGGATTCCCCTCCCACTGACCCAGCGTGTTTTCCACCTCCTTTGTCCCAGACAGGAGACACTGGCTGCTCCTCTGGGCAAGGGAAAGGCTCCTGTGCTATTCCTAAAAACAGAACACTTGGAATTAGTGCCCTGGAAACACAGACCTGTCCTTCCAGGGTCATTGCCAGCATCAAATGAAAATGACATCCTGCCCCAGTGCATTTCCAGCAGGACTGGACACTCCTGGCCAAGGTGACCAGTCCATGGAAGTTGCACCTAGGACAATCCAGGGGGATTTAAAGTTGGATTCTTTCAGATTCCATTGTGCAGAAGCTCCAATTCTTTTTGCCACCTCTTGTTTAAATGTCTCCCTGCAGGAAGAGGTCAATCAGTCTTTTTAATGACCAGATTCCAGAGGCAGGGAAAACCAACCAGCATTCCCTGAACATCTCTATCACTTCTGTGTCCATCTGCAACGAGTGGCTGAAGGCCAGGAGCCAGCCCAGGACAGGCTCAGGGATGAGGCTTCCAACACAAATCATTCCAAGATGATTCCATGATGTCTCCCTGCATTCATTTTGCATGGTTTCCTCTCAAATTTAGATGATTCTTTTAAAGGAAAAAAAAAATCTAAAATTATTTCAGGAATAAAAAGGGGAGTTGTAAAACATACAAGAATCATTCCTACATCCATCAAATCATTTTTAATTGGACACTCCTTCCCTCATCTCTTTCCTTTTTTAGCTTTCCTGGAAATCCTGGAGTTGTGATCCCACAGTTTCTCCAAGAGCTCTTCTGGGATTACTGGAAGGTTTGCTGTGCCAGAGAGCCAAAGGGGGTTTAGAACACTGAATCCTCTGCATCTTTATCCCTTAATCAGGTTTCCCCAGAATGGCACTGTGGGAGAAGTTTGGAATTACTAGAAATGGATCAGGTACACATTTTTTCTCCACTGTTTTTCAGCTGTTTTTATATTCTTGGCATTGCCCTCAAATATGCCCTAGAGCAGTGCTGTGAAAGGATCTATCAGAGGAACATCCTGCAAAGGGGAAACCACCTCCAGCAGCAGCTGGAATGATCCCATTTCTGTTCTTACCTGGTCTCCAGGTGCTCGTGCCAGAGTTCCCACCAGCCATTGCCATTCCTGAACAAGAGCTGTGGAAGACATTTGTGCTGTCCATGAGGATGAGGAGGCAGTTTTGGATGTTCTTGTCTGATTCCACAGCAAACAGAGTGTAAATGATCTTTGTCGTTCCTTCCAAGCCAAACCAGCCCATGATTCCATGGTTGTGAACAGCCCCTATCACAATTCCATTCCAGAAACATCCTCCCACTAACCCAGAACTTTCCTTTTTCTGAACCACACTCGGGATGTGCTGCCGAGTGTCCGGAGCAGGGGTCGCCTCATAATTCCTTGGGACACCTCAGCATTCCTTGGGATCCCTGGGATGCCTGGGACGTTTCAGCATTCCCGGGATGCCGTTCCACGCCGATCCCGGGCTGCAGTGCCGGGCGCTCCCCACGGGGCGGCAGCACCGGGCGCCGCAGCCCCGGCCGGTCCCGGTGTCCCGGGAGTGGCTGCGGCTTTAACCCGCCTGACGGGGAAAAAATCCCACTGATCCCCTTTATTGCACCCTCAAAAGTACAGGCTCGCAGCACATCCTGAGCCGGAAGGGACACAAAGAGAGCATCGAGTCCAAATCCTGACCCGGCCCAGGACATCCCAAGAATTGTCCCCTATGCCCGAGAGCCTTGTCTAGACCCAAACTCTTCCCCCAACACCCAGAAAACACAGCGGGGCTGGGAGAGGGATGACGACGGAGGGTTTTTTACATATATCTCGTTATACGATCGTTCTATAGAAGCGCTATGTATCCTACAATTAATCCTGGTAATCCTACAATTAATACGTCCCTTATATCTCGCTATACATTGTTAGACGTCGCCTTCACGGCGGCGGCTCCAGTGACCGAGGGAAGCCCCGCCTGACCCTCCACTCCCATTCCCGCAGTCAGCCCAGGTTTCCTTCCCGGCTCTACCCCCGGATTCCCGCGGCAGTCTCAGGTGTCTCGTTCCATAAAGCAAATTATTCACAGCAACACCGAGCCAGCCCGAGCTGGTCCCTCCGAAGGGCACCGATCTCCTCCTCATTCTTGACCCCAAACTGTGCATTCTCTCCTCTGCTCATTAATTCAGATTTTATCCCAAAATTTTCATTTTGGCCCCTACAGAATCCGCCCCAGAGCGACGCCCCGAGCCCCGCAGCTCCCGCTGCTGCATCCTTCCCTCTCTGTTCTCCTGGACGGGACAGCGATCCCTGCGCAGGGGACACCGATCCATCCCTGTGCCGGGACACCGATCCATCCCTGTGCCGGGACACCCATCCATCCCTGTGCCGGGACACCCATCCATCCCTGTGCCGGGACACCCATCCATCCCTGTGCCGGGACACCGATCCCCCGCGGCCCTCGTTCCCCGCTCGGGGCTGTCTCAGTTCCCTGCTCGGGGCTGTCCCCGTTCCCCGCTCACCTCCGAGCCCGGAGCAGCCGCCGCCGGTGCCCCCGGCCCGGCCCCGCTGCTCCCCGGGCTCCGCCACGGCGCTCCGGAGTTTGGTCCCAGAAAAAAAGCTCGGGTTTTATTTCTGAGCTCGGACTTGCAGGACTTTCCCGCCCCCCCCCGGGGAGCCCCCAGTGCGATGTGCGGAAAGCCGGAGCCCCGGCGGTGTCGGGCGGTGCTTGTGAAGTGCCTGGGAGGACCCGCCGAGCTCCCCAGCTGTGGGGGCTCCAGCGAGGGCAGGGGGCGCCGAGCTCCGGCCCTCTGGGCTTTATTCTCCGGCGCCCCGGGAGCGATGGGGGGAATGAAGAGGGGAGGAAGAGGAGGGGCAGGAAAGAGGGAATAAGGGCAGGACGAAGGAGGGGTAGAGGGAGGTACAGGATGGGAGCCCGAGGCCCCCGTGCCTCACCTGGGCCCCTCCGGAGGAGCCCGGGCCGAGCGCTGAACGAGCAGAACAGGCTGGGGAGGCTCCCGGGGGTTTAAATCCCCTCGTCCCGGGATGCGCCGGGAGCACCGCTTTGTCCTGCTCGGCATCACCTCTCCGTGCCTGCAGGGAGATGCAACTGCAGCAGGAAGTCTCCCATCCCCATGGATTCCCCTCCCACTGACCCAGCGTGTTTTCCACCTCCTTTGTCCCAGACAGGAGACACTGGCTGCTCCTCTGGGCAAGGGAAAGGCTCCTGTGCTATTCCTAAAAACAGAACACTTGGAATTAGTGCCCTGGAAACACAGACCTGTCCTTCCAGGGTCATTGCCAGCATCAAATGAAAATGACATCCTGCCCCAGTGCATTTCCAGCAGGACTGGACACTCCTGGCCAAGGTGACCAGTCCATGGAAGTTGCACCTAGGACAATCCAGGGGGATTTAAAGTTGGATTCTTTCAGATTCCATTGTGCAGAAGCTCCAATTCTTTTTGCCACCTCTTGTTTAAATGTCTCCCTGCAGGAAGAGGTCAATCAGTCTTTTTAATGACCAGATTCCAGAGGCAGGGAAAACCAACCAGCATTCCCTGAACATCTCTATCACTTCTGTGTCCATCTGCAACGAGTGGCTGAAGGCCAGGAGCCAGCCCAGGACAGGCTCAGGGATGAGGCTTCCAACACAAATCATTCCAAGATGATTCCATGATGTCTCCCTGCATTCATTTTGCATGGTTTCCTCTCAAATTTAGATGATTTTTTAAAGGAAAAAAAAAAATCTAAAATTATTTCAGGAATAAAAAGGGGAGTTGTAAAACATACAAGAATCATTCCTACATCCATCAAATCATTTTTAATTGGAAGCCCATTCGCTCATCTCTGTCCTTGTTTTGCTTTCCTGAAATCCCTATGATCCCCCAGTTTCTAGGTGTGTTTCCCTCCCCCAAAAAGGGATGAAAACATCCTGATGCATTCGGGAAAAGATTTTTTTTATTTGAAAGAATGACAAAAAGCCGAGAGATGGCCTTGGACAGTAGGGATGAACAGCTTCCCCACTCCCTCTCTCCAAACCCTGTGCAGATGGGGCTGGGAATGCCGGAAGGAGCCGGGTGTGCCTCTAATTGCAGAGCGTGCCTTTAATCCCGGGCTAAAGCAGCTCAGCCGTGCGAGCCTGTCCCAGCGCGGGGACAGGACAGGTCCCTGCACATCCCAGCACCCAGGGACATCGGTCCCAGGCCTGTTCCACACCCTCCAGCTCGGTGTCTCACCATTCCAGATTGCTGATCCCATTGCAGCAGCATCTCTCCCTCCTCTCCCATGGCCAGAATCTGCCCGCAGTGACGGGGTCCTGTGGCTAATTGGAGGCAAATGTGGCAGCCACGTCTGGCTGAGCAGCTCCCTGCAGGTGGCAGCGAGATGTGACCTACTTGTCACTGGAATCATCCTGCCTGCTCAGAGAGCCCTGAGCTCTTCTGACAGCTGGAGCCTGCTGACCCCTGCCATGTCCTGGGAGGAAGCAGCACCAGGGAAGATCTCGCATCCCACAGCAGTGTGAGGGAGAAAGGAGCTGTCTGGGAAGCTCTGGGTAAGGGGCAGGAGGAAGCTGTGTCCTCTCTGTTGGGCCCTGGAGATATTCCCTTGAGAGTTTTTGACTTCCAGAGCTGGATTTTTGTTTGCCTGTGCAGCTGGCACTCAGAGGCCTGCCTTGGGGAGGGCCCTGGTGCGTGGTTTCTGCGCAGGGCTTCGCGTGGCTGCGAGGGCCGTGGATGGAGACAGCTAGAAAGGGACTCGGGAAACTCGGGAAACCTCCTGACTGAGCTAAGCATGGAGACATCACCAGGTGAAATCCTGTGCCTGGAACAGCAAGAATATGGATGGCACTGAGGCGACTCCAGCTCTGGGCTATGTCGCTCCTTTTTCCTCGCTCTGCTGTGGTTTTTCATCACTATCACAAGACACCTTTTTTCTGCCCTTCTTTTTCTTGAGCAGGTAATGCCAAATACAACATTGTGAGGATTAATGGATCCCTCAGGCTCCAACCCTGCCCTTTGGGGAGGCAGATGCAGCTTTGGAGCCCTCTCCCCTGCCACAAGCAGTGTGACAGCAGCCTGCTACCCCATTCCTCAGGGGAGTCTCCTGCCTCCTCCCTGCGTGTCCCCCGGCCGTGTCGCTGCGGCAGGTGCAGGAAGCAGTGTCTGCCTGCCCAGGCAGCATTTGGAGAGGGCAAAGGGCCTGTGAGTGCTGCTGCTGCATTAGCCAGGGCCTGCCTGCTGTGCAAAGCCTTATTAGAGAGCAAAAAAGGCTTTATTTCAGGCTGGAAGTCATCAAGCCTGTTCAGGCAGATGTTTGTTTCCTCTGCTCCCTGGAATGATGTCATTATGGCCAGCAAAGTCCTGTGCTTCCCCAACCCTGGACAACTGCTCCGGTACTTTGGTACTTTCTCAGGTTCCCCAGGCAGCACTCTATAAAATACAGGCAGTGTACAACTGGTTTCACAAGGAATTTCTGTTTAGCCTACTTATTAAAGTGCTCCAAAGGGAATCTGAAGAGTTTGTATTCCATGATTCTTGAGAACAAGTTACTGTTTCTGCTGGCAGGTTTCCAAAAAAGGAGAAAAAAAGAAAATAAAAATATATTTCTAGGTCAAATTCTTGCTCTTAAGCTTTTGTACTT